CTCTTTCTTTGCTACCTACATTCAAAAAGATTGCAAAATTTGCCGCCATGGGCCGCGGCCCATGTGGCCACCTCCTTAATCCGGCCCTGTGCATCAAGGTGTTAATAAATCCTGATTTGAATGCTCTTCATCAGGTTATGAATCTCCACTCTTCAACAACTGAGCTGAAGTTTGTTCGGATCCAAAATGCCAATTACACGGGAAAGAGAACAAATGAAAGATTTGAGCATACGTATTCACAGGAAATGTTATGAAATACATAGCAGACGTCGTTTCAGCAGCAGCAGCAGCAGCATATAATTTTGTTTGAACAAGTACAACTGGAGCGCCTTCAGTGTTTGAGACTCAATACGAACATCCGTGGAGCTGGGATAGTTGCATCAAAGCGATGGAACTAATAATAGACCCTGACGGTTAATAGATTCTGTTTCGAATGCTCCCCACCAGGTTTTGAATTGCTACACTTCAGCAACTGAGCTGCAGTTTGTTCGCATCAAAAATTTGCCGAGTGCAATGGGAAGGGAACAAATGTAATATTTGAGCGTACTATTTCATTCCCCGCTAATTTTTGAAATACTAGCCGAGTGACATTTCGTTTCAGCAGTAGAAGCGCACAATTTTGTTTGAACAAGGGCAACTGGAGCGCCCTCAATTTTTTGGATACAATACTTACATTCATGGAGCTGGAATAGTTGAATCAAGGTTTTAGTAAACCCTCATTGAACAGTCTTTCGGAAATTTGAACCGTCGCAGAGAATTTGAGTCCTTTTGCAACAAAGTAATTCAGTTAGGATGATTCATAGTTGAAAAAGTCTGTTGCAGCTAGCAATTAGCCCCGCCAGCACGAAATTCAGGCGTAAACCAGGCAACTTGGAACTAAAATGACATCCTGATACTTGCAAGAGCCTCTAATAAATCGACTTCAATAATCTAATCCCCTGAGTTCCGCCCTCGTGCGTAAAGCAATCGTCATTTTGGAGTTTAAACTCGGAAGGACCCAGAATTACGGTGGGTCCAGAAGGAGGGGGAGGGGGGGTGTTTCATTCTATAGACAGCTTCTCCCGAAACGGAAATAAATGCAGTGTCGCTCCGGGTCTTAAATGCAGATTGAATCGCGCTTATTCACAGCTTCAGTGGGCCTGATGAAACAGAGCTTCGAGCTCCGGTTGTCTAGTTGCCACTAATTTTTATGAATTTTCATTTCTTTCCTACCAATTTCGATGGGGAGAAAACGTTTAATTCAGTCCCGATCCTCAAAAGTTTGCAACCCTGTTTTTTCCTCTGTTTAAATCCATACTAATTCATCGATTTTAGGCGAAGCAGCCTTCGCCGGTAAATATCAATGGTCTCCCGTATATTTGGAGAACAAAGCGCGGTGTTGCCAACTTTTAAGAATTGCCGATTTTTTAAATTATCAACAATGGTGGCGAAAGAAATAATTTGGCAGAGGGAAATCATAATTTTAAGTAAACAATTGTATCTTGGGAGTCAACAAATTGAAAAACCGCAGTATTTACGGCTTGAAATTTTGACCCAATTTTCTCATTAGTACACTGAAAAAAAGACTGGCAGAATTTTCTATTCCTTCACGTTGTATTTCACCCAGCGTGAAGGAATCGTAAATTCTACCAATCTTCAAGTCAACTCAGTCAGCCAGTATATAGTAACATTTACCTCTCTGCATTGACGCTGTGTGAAATACAGCGTGAAGGAATGGTAAATTCTATCCATAATTTTTTCAGTGTATTTGAGAGCGTTTAGCATCCGAAATAGAGGAGTGAATATTTTTGTTTTTTCGTTGTGATGAACGATTTGAGTTTCTACTTAAACCATTCCACAGAGCCCGGAGTCCACCACAAATGCGCAGCCTGGTCACAATATACATATTTTCGTCAATTAATACCAAATTTATGTAGGCAGAGAGAGTCAGGTGGGAGTCAGAAGGGAGACAGGCTGGAGTTGGAGTCACCCTGAAGGGGTTTGAAAGAAGCGAATTTTATTTAGAGGTTCGATACTACTTTTGTGCCCGAACCTCCGAGCTGCCATTTCATGCAAGTTCGGAACTTCCGATGCGGTGACTAACGAATCACAACGTTGGTGCGTGATTTTGGTACCACCTCGCGAGGTGGTTCTAAAAAAGGTTCGACCTATCTAAAACCAACCGAACCAATCGATCGGTCAAATGTGGTAACAACGGTGTCCTCTGGTGTTAGTGATTGATGAGACAAACCGGGATAGAACATCGCATGGAGGTTCGAAACTTGAAATAACATTCGTTTAAGGTCAGGGGACTTCGGCGGCTGGGTGCGGTGTCGCAAAGCGCTATGAAAGCGGATTTTATGTATTTATGTACGATGCACGCTGTCAGTATACATACGATGATGCAACGATATTATGATATCCATAAATAATTTGAAGTTGCAGCTGTTTTTATCGGGATGCATTGTAGCTGATAATTGACAAATAAAGTTTTGAAAATAATTGATAAATGACAAACGTTTTAATATGTTTTTTTTTTAATATTAAAGTTTTATCGTGTAATGTTCGTTTTACGGACGTCGGACATCCAAAATTTTTAGTGTAGTGACCTGATGATGAACTTAAACAGATCGGAATATCGATCGTCGAAGTCTAAAAATCAACGTGATCGGGGTAAACCAAGGTGAAATTGGACGTATTTCTGTCAAGTGGAACTATGTGCATTAAGACATGAGCCCTGAGACCCATAAGAATATGTGCATAATAGGGCTCACGTCATTTTGCACATAGTTCCGTTTCATAGAAATACGTCCAATTATCAGATGTCCATGAATATTTTGCGGTCCTCTAAACTTTAACGGAAATGTATCTGTACGACATATTTCCAGCTCTCGTCAACCTCAATGTTGACGATATCGTTGATGGTGTGATTAAGACCAGTGGCGCGGTCAGGAATTTTGCATGGGGGGGGGGCGGATCTACGGTCTAAACTTTCTCACAGGGGAGTCAATCGGGAAGTATTCTCGAAAATTCCCAAAACTACGTTATTTTGTGAAAATTATCCAGTCATGAGGGGAACAGGGGTGAAAACCCCTCGAACCTCCCCTTGAGCTTCCCTTCCGACTACGCGCCTGATCAGGGCCATCGATGGACTGGTTGTTACCCCATGTCCGATGTATTTTGACGGGCTAGTAATTCGTGTACGCCGGGCTTATCGCACGTACGTCTTTTTCAAATCGTCCGGTATAAATAGACTTATTTTGTTTAAATACGTCCAATTGTGGGTCAAGGTCACGCGATGAGCTTCCGGCTCAAATTTCCGCCCGCAGATCACTTGGTCCGAAGCTGAGACCCTGCGTCGAAAACTCGGTTCACGTGTTAAACGTTCGGATACGTGTCGAATTGATGCCGTGCAATAAACCGGCACTTAAGGGTCAGCTTCCGTTTCCGGTGGCTCCCATTTCCGGTGCCCGCAGTCGGGATGCGGGAGGGAGGGGAGGCGGGAAATTGATCACTTGTTGATGTAACTCCGGGATGTGTGCCGCGGCACGGAATCCGATATCCTCGGGATATTGCTCAAAGTTGGCGGTCATTCGGCGGGGTTGCCAGACCTGCTCGGAAAAAAACCCGAGCTCTCGGTTATTTGCGGGCAGGCCGCGGAAATTGATGAGGTTTTTCAGGAAGAGCGTTGAGGGAGTCGACGAGGCGATGACGTTGTTATCGATTACACGGCTATCGATTTCCGTCGCTCTCAGGATGAGACAATGCATGTTGCGATGCACCCACTCGGGTTCCTGTGTGTGGAGAGCACTGCCGTTTTTGTGGCGCTCTACGTTTGGCACACTAGTTGGACTGCATTTTGCAATTTGGAACTATAAATTCTGGCTCATCTGAAAAAACACTTTTGTGCATAGAGAAACTAATGGCACATACGTTGTTTTTAAACCGGGCTAGAATTTATAGTTCCAAATTGCAAAATGCAGTCCAGTTGTAGAAGGCCTCTCAAGGGGCACTAGAGGCCAAATTGGACGTATTTCTATGAAGCACAACTATGTGCAGGTGAAAAATACGGGGTGTGCTCTAGAAAGGTGGATAAGAAATAATGTGGTCAGTGGGCGTGATTCCTTTTGAAGAATCGGAAAAGCAGGATTTTAAATTGAGCAAACAGGACTGTGTGCCAACAGAATGCGGGATCTATGAGCCGCGGGCATGGGACGAGAGCGTTGTGGACAGGGCTCATGAGTTGCAGACCACTACGAGGAGCCCCGACGACGGTATCCATCTCCGTTGACGTCACTGGCGCTTTATTATTCTCATTCACTCTTACGGCCAGAGAACTGACGAGCACACCCCATATATCGACGGTGAAACTACCAAACCACGTATCTCGGTTTGCGACGTCGCAGACTTCCTGTCATACTTTATTTTTTAAATGAAAAACTACTTAACATCCAGTCTTGAAAATTTCTGTGATTTTTCCTCTTTTTGCGGAGAAAATTCCGTGAAAATTTCAAGGAATGATATTAATTTGGTCTACTTCAAAAAAATAAAATGTGAGCGTAGATTTTTAAACACCGCAAACGAGATACGTGGTTTGGTAGTTTCACCGTCGATATCTCACCTCCACATAAATCTGTTTGATAGAAATACGTCCAATTAAGGAGCTTGGAAGACAAGGCGAATAAGTGCAGTTTTTGAAGAAATTGAGATGATAATGATTTCAAATGAAAGTATTTTCAATGCATATTCTCCGAAACATTCGCTCCCGAATTTCAATTTTTAAGCATCATAAGGTCGTTTTGAACTTTCTTTCCGCCATAAGTATCCATGTAATTTCGAAACTTCAAACACGTATTTCTTAAAATAGCCAAAATTGCACTTATGCGTTTTGTCGTCCAAACCTCTCAATTAAACAAAAAACCAATGTTTTTTCTTCTTTATCGGTCGTCTTTGAAAGAAAAAGTAATTATCTGGAATGAACATGGGATGCTCTAATTCTATTGTCTTTATTTTTGTTGCAGGAGCCGGCTGGACCAAGTTAATCTCGAGAAGTTATCAGGAGGCGAGGAAGGAAGGAAGTCGATGTTCGATGACTCGGAGATAAGTTGACGTCAGTCCAAAATTCGAGGCTGCAAGCTATGTCTTCAAGAGTCGACAACGAGGCTTAACTTCGACTCGAGTCTCTCAAAATACGAGGAATCGTTGAGATTTGAAAATCGAGACAAGTTACTTTTAAGGGTTTAGTTTTAAGGGTTTAGTGTCTCTTCAGATTTCATCTCGAGCCCGCGAGCAAAGAAGCACGCTCTTCGACAGGGTGACTCCCAATCCAGAATTCAACAAGTTCCAAGTTCTGACAGCGACATGTTTTCCAAGTCCTCGTCGGAAAATTGGGGACAACTTTATAATTGAAGTATTACAAAAATAGATGACGCCTTCCTATGAATAGCGCAAGTTTGGGATTTGCGTCTTTCTAATCTAAACGAACTAATGTTCTACGAGTTTCAAAACATCCAACGCCAGCTTAAATCACTACGAAACTAATCTAAGGATTAATCGCCGGTTGAATTTGCGAGATTGCTTGCAAGTTTCTCAGAATCAATGCATAATTATTTGTTTTTGTTGAATTTTACAAAAGTACTGCAATATTAATTATCGGATTTGTTTGAAAAATAACGCAAAAAAGATCCGCAAATTACTGCGTAGTTGAAACAAAATTCATTGTTACGTCATTGTGAGACTACTCAAGAAAAATCGTCACAAAACTGAGGCGTTTTCGCAGCATTAATTACGAAATTGCCAGAATACTGCAAGATCATTCGCAAACATTGCCAGGTCATCAGAAGACCATTGGGAAAAATTGGGAAATCGTTGCGGAAATAATCGGAAAATAAGGGCTGGAAAATGGAAGCTTCAACGACATCAATCCTGGGGACGAGCCTGTACGACTCGGTGCTGAACGAGTCCCTGGAAGGAGGATCGAACCATTCGTACGCGTGCGACACCGGCGGGGGCGACTACATCCGGAGCGTTTACTTCCGGACTTTGGTCTACATCATGTACATCTCCATCTTCCTCATCGCCCTCGTCGGCAACGGCCTCGTCTGCTACGTGGTCTTCAGCTCGGCCCGCATGCGCACCATCACCAACCTCTTCATCGCCAACCTCGCCGTCGGGGACATCCTCATGACCGTCTTCTGCGTCCCGTTCACCTTCGTCGCCACCCTCCTCCTCCAGTACTGGCCCTTCGGCATCGAGATGTGCCCCGTCGTCAGCTTCACCCAGGCCGTGTCTGTCCTCGTAAGTTCCCACCCCCTCTTTTCTACAAATCTTTTTCACTTCTGCCCACAGGACCTTCTCATTGGATTTGTCCCAGCACTGAAAAAAAAGTTACGGGCTATATGCAGGGTTGCCACAGTCAGGGAACACCGGAAAACCCGGGAAATATGTTAAATCACCTTTATTTGCTTTCTTGAGTGTGTTTAAGGTTTCGAAAAACATAGTTTGCCTGTAAACTATTTTTAATCGTGTCTTCTTAACCATCTGTCATGCCTTTAATTGTCAGGAAATTTCACCAAAATGTATCAAGGAAATGTCAGGGAATATCATTTTCCAAATTCTGTGGCAACCCTGTAGACGTTCCGTCCGTTCCGAGCTCAGCGGCTGAAATTTCCGGTTGTTTGAGTCGCACCTTCCATTGCTTCGGGTGGTACGCCTGGAACTTTCGACCCCTGAGCCCGGAACGGTATGTCTATATAGCCCTTAAGTACAGTTTCCATGGCCGGAGTTTGTTTTATCACTGAGGTAAAAGCCTCACTTTGATAGCCGAAGTGCAAAACTCTGTATCTTCATTGTCGTGTTTCGAAATTTCCCCTCGTATTTTATGTTTTCCAAGAGGAACATATATTTATTGTGTTCCATCATTACCCCAATTCCGGTTAAATACTCGATTCTTATTAATGTATCTCTCCGCTTAAACTTGTCGCAAGACGGTGAGAACGCGAATAATTTAAAATTGTTCGATACAGAATACACGTATTGTGTGTTCAGAAGTGCAATTCCAAGTTCTTGGATGTGCTCTTCGTGATTTTCGTGCAAGTTTACGGCGTTTAGCCCTTAGAGTCAAGTCATTTATTCATAACTTTTGTGTGCAACAGACCCATTGTCCCCGAAAACTTTGGTCGTAAAATATCTGAGAGCTGCGAAGAGGACGTCTCCGCATGCGAAGTGCGAACGCTCACTTGAAACTGATACCTGACCATGCCCAAAGAACCGGTCGATTTTCGAAGAGGCGGGCCCCAGCGAGGGTGCCTGTTTCGCTTGTAAACTTCAAACACGTAACTAGACGCCGAACGAGAAACTTTTGAATTGGATGCTTGTGTGGGCACTGTGAACTTTTCCACGCGTGTCGCAACTTCGGAGCCTCGGGCCCTCACAATTCGTCATTGCTCATGCACGTAAAGCAGAGATTCCTGTTGCCGATTTCCCTTTAAATAAGTTATCAGAGGGAGAAATCTCTTACCTCATTCTTCTCTATTCCGCGCAAACGTATGCTTAGTTATTATCTTCGAAGAGAAAAAAACACTGTCTAATTTTTGCAGGAGTCAACGAGTTTTAAAAATTCGCAACGCTGAGTCCGCGAATCCAACAACACACTTGACTGGAACTACATTTTGCAGTAAGGCCTATCTCTGACTCATATTTAGAAATCACGCATGCGCCGTAAGTTTCCCTACGTAGATATATGCCTCCGTGGATGAGCCAGAAATAGTGGTTCCTCATTGCAAAATGAAGTCCACTCAGTCGGTTCGCTCCATTCATATTTTGAAGTCAAATTCGTTTTTTTAAAAATTAAAATTGCGTTCGCTGTATGCTCCTTTGAAAAAAATTAAACACCAGATTTCATTTGTATACTTCAATCTCTGAGTTTAAAGTTTATGTATGAGTTTTGAGGTACATTGTAATTTTTTAACTTTCAACCCGTTGTCAACTTCTAAATCAACCTTACATAAAGGTATTTTTACTTCGATCCCTCATCAAATGAGCTGTAAACAGTTTAAAACTAACTTTGATTATTCAAAGTCATAAATGCTCGCGCTGACAGAAGTTATTTTGTCGACTTAGATGACAATTGTAGATTTATATCAATTTCTGGATTAATTTATGTCACGCGTTTGAATCCTATGTTTTCCTCTTAATTTTTTGCTCTTTTTCGTATTTGCACTAATTTTTTAAAAAATAAAGTCCTCAAATATTCGTTTTTTAGTGCGCTGTAAGCTGAAAAAGTGGTAGAAAGGCAGTGTCTTCTCCAATGAAGCCCTTCAAGTGGCCATCCGGTGGACATGAAGCGTCATGATTTAATGATACAACTATTCGTACTCAATGGACGCGCGTGTTGCATACCGCGCAATTGAAGGCACTCTGGTTGCTCTTCTTTCCCGGGCTAATGCAGCCTCGGGTACATGAAACGCACCCCATCGTGGTACCAAAGGACACTCGTGAACTTCCAACTCTCTTTATTTTCAATTAATGCCTTTTATCGTATTCTTCCCACGTTTTAAATTTCATACCTGCCATCACCAGAATATTTTATTTTTCCTTTTATGTTTTGACTTAGGTATGAGCTACGTTTTACCACTTCCTTTGAAGATTACGAGACTTCCGAGGCTTCCAATTGGTCAATGAGAGATGTGTAACTAGATGTAGGACGAGCCAGAATAATCAAATTTCGATCAATTTTCCATCAAACTCTGTCCAAAAAATTTAAAAGTCATAAACAGTCGGCACAATAAGTTTTTTTTTCATATCGTTATTTTAGTCTTATTCACACAGCAACATATTCACGAGAACCTAGTACTGCTTCCTGACAATTCTCAAAAAAGGGGACTTGAGTTCACTAAAACTCAAAATTGAACATATTTTTTCTAAAAGGAATTATGTGCATAGGGATTGCGTGTAACATACTTCCTTTTAGCGTAAATACGTCCAATTGAAAAATTGGTACCGAAGCACAGGAGAGAGTTCCACAAAAAGAAAAAACTGACCGACGAAAATGAAAGTGAGTCGAAGACATTCTTGTTGGCTTTAATATTGGACTCTTAATATTAATGTCATGCTATAAGGAAGAACGCCGTATAAACATTCGAGAGTTGCCAAATTTTCCCGAATAAAACATGTATTTTTGAAAAAATTTAACATATTTTTCCTTGAAATTACCAGATATTTTAGATTGTACTGCGAAGAATATTGTCTGACAAATTGGAGGAAAATTATTCAGAATTTTCCCAGTAAATTCGTTTTTTATTGAATGAAACACCTATGGCATGGGGTGAGTGCTCATACGGCGTTCTTCCTCAGGAGCAGTGGCGTGGCGTGAATGATCGATTAACGATATTTCCCCATTTCAAGCTATGCTGAAGAATCGATCATTAAGGTGTTGATACCCTATTAATCGATTCTTTTCCGTTTGTTTAAATGGCTGATCAATCGATCTATCGCGAAGCACGCCATACCACTGCTTAGACGGCAGATTAGGAGTGGGATCTTTGTAGTGTTTCTCGTGTTAGAAGGTTGGCTGCCCTCTTGGGCCCTAGGGCTCCGTATTTGGACGTGTCCGCACGCTTCGGATGTAGGTATACTCGCAAAGGGGCCGTAAATTTGGCAGGGATATTTGGCGGATTTTTCGAGTGAGGCAGAGTGTCAAGGTCAACGCGCCAGAGGAGCAGGAGCCGTGATTAATGCCTTGAGCCGCTTCCGCTTATCACGGGAGCGGGCCGCGGGGGCGCCGCCGGCGTCCCATTCAATTTTTACCCCCTTCTTCCCCTTTTTCCCCTTCTTCCCCTTCTTCCCTCTGATAATGTCAACGGACCAACGAACGACGCCCTCAATTTACCCTCCCTCCGACTTCCTAGCTTCACCTGGGTCATCGCCACGGGTCAGCATAGTTGGATCCACCAATTTGGCAACGCCGGATTCCCTCCCTTTAAACCTATGTTAAATAATCGATTCTGGTCGGAGCACCTTATCCCTCCAAGAATCTAAACATTACCGTAGGTTTAAATGTTGAAAAAAATGTTACCAATCTCCTGGATCCGCCCATGTGGGTGAGACATTACCGATCGAAATTCAGTTTTTGATAGAGTCTCTTAAATAACACTTTCTATTTAGGAAGATTTTTAGTTTTATGTTCCGAGTTCTGAACGTTTGATACTACGAAAAATGTCTCGAATTTTTTAGCGTTAATGTGAGGAAATTATCGCGGCAACCTTTTTGCGTCAAGTAAAAATCTATCAAAACGTATATTTGTGTATGTGTGTGTTTTTTTAATTTCAGTAAAAATAATAACATTTTAATGCATTCGCATGGAGCGGTTTTTACGCCATGAAATAACGGCAACTGTCTCTGGATTCAAACCTAAAAAGTAAATTAAAATTACATCATCTGAATTTTATCACGATAATACCGACACATTGAAAACATTCTCTACCATAAGTGGCGACTGTGCACCAATTTTACAAAAAAAAAATGTGTGGTTATAGTCAAAGTAAAATGACCGAGAGTTTTCAAATATAAATTGTAATCAACCGTCATTATTTGAACCATTATTTTTTAACCACCCTGTATAGATTACCAAGTTTTAGATATATATCAGGAAACAGGACCGGATAGTACTCAACTGATAGTTTTGTTTGGTCTAAAAACGAGACATTCCTCGCAGCCTGCATACATAATGGTTTCACTAAAACAATCACGAAAACCATTTCCCTCATTATATTATACTTCAAATTTAAAAGAATATAAATAAAATGGACCCTTTGCCCTACTCTCTGTCACGAGAGAAGGCTTTTGACTCTTTTTGACACACCAATAAGTGATGACGAAGGGGTTCTCCACAAACAAGGGCAGTTTCGTTTACTTTTAAGGTCAATCGATCACCTTCAACAGCGAAGAATAAGGGTGAATCGAACTTCAAGCACGACGTAAAATAACGTCCACTTCGACACGAATGTTGAAAAGGGTCGGTTGAGAATGGCCAATGACGTCGGAAACTTATTTTTGCAACCCACGGAAGGAAATTTTGACGTTTAGATGCTTATCCATCACGGAGAGATTCAATCGAAATTCAGGCCTGTTGGCCACAGCCGTAGATCAAATACAGCCATGCAAGCGCTCACAGTCGTAGGTGGACTCGTGATTGGACTTATATGCTATCTGTGCAAACGGATAAAATCAAAAGGAACCATGTGGCATAAAAATCCCATGCACATACTAATACCATTTCGAGGGCTAACGCACAATAC